CAAGAGGACTTAGAATATTTTGCAAGGCAATTGCGAAAATCCGGATTGTATGAAGTAAAAGTAATCCGAAATCTTATGGGCCTGATCATAGACATAATTTTGATGGTTCTTATGTACCCTTAAATGATAATACAAAGGATACTTCTAAAACCGGAACAAGGCCTAAATTATTACAAAACTGGCGACTATGATCAAAGTCCAGTCATGCTAAAATTCGCCAAGTGCGCTTTTTTGCCTACTCCTGGCCATTCTTTACTTACAAATCAAACTTTGAAAGGTAAGTTTGATTATATTCATCCACGTATTCCTGATTTACCAACATTTACTGGTGATGAGAAAGCCAAAACCAACTTATTTGAAGTTTTGAAAGTATGATGTTCATTGTTTGATTGATTGAACAGGTATATCCCATGCATATCATACGTGAAGCCATACGTAAATCTCTGAAAGGCACCGCTCGAGGGGTTTTATTACATCTCGGGAAGATACTTCTGTAGCGGATATACTTACAGAATTAGAAGGTATATATGGGAATTACTGATCTTGGTTGTACAAATGTTGTTGAACATGAAATCAACTTAACTGACCCGACTCCCTTTAAAGACACATATAGACGTATTTCACCAGGTATGTTTGAAGAAGTACGGGAACATTTAAAGAGCATGATTGAAGCTGGAGCTATTCGTGAATCTCAAAGCCCTTTCTCTTCAAATGTCGTCTTAGTTCGCGAGAAAGATGGTTCATTGCGTTTTTGCATTGACTATCGAAAATTAAACAGTCGTACTGTTCAGGATGCTCATTCTGTTCCTCGGATTGACGAAACCATTGACTCACTTGCAGGATCGAAGTATTTTTCTAAGTTAGATCTACGTTCAGGGTACTGGCAGGTCGCTATGAAGGAGGAAGATAAACAGAAGACTGCTTTTAATGTAGGACCTCTTGGATTTTGGGAATGTAATCGAATGGCTTTTGGGTTAACCAATGCGCCTGCGACTTTTCAACGCTTAATGGAACGTTGCATGGGTGAATTACATTTAAAGGATTGCCTCATATATCTTGATGACATCATTTTATATTCGGACAATATAGATTCTCATTTTAAGCGTTTAGAATCAGTTTTTCTTCGTCTTGAAAAGCATAACCTTAAGTTTAAAGGTTCAAAATGTGAATTTTTCAGAACCCATGTTAAATATGTTGGACATGTTGTTAGTTCTCAAGGTGTGGAAACTGATCCTGAGAAAATTAGAGTCCTGAAGGAATAGCCTGTTCTTCTGTGAAAGAACTTAGAAAATTTCTAGGTTTTGCAGGTTATTATAGACGTTATGTAGAGGGATTTTCTAAAATCGTTAAACCTCTTAATGATCTTTTAGTGGGTCACCCTACTAATAAGAAAGCAGTTAAATGTAAAACCTGTACACCGTGGAAATGGGAGAAAGAACAACAAGAGGTATTTGATATTTTGATTCAGAAATTGTCTTCTCCACCCATTTTAGCTTATGCTGATTACACCAAGCCGTTTATTCTCAATATCGATGCTTGTTCAGGTGAGCTTGGTGCAGTTCTTTACCAAAACCATGACGGGAGGAGCGAGTTGTTTCTTATGCCAGCAGAGGATTAAGACCAAGTCAGTTGAACTATCCAGCACACAAGCTAGAGTTCTTGGCACTCAAATGGGCAATATGTGACAAATTTCATGAGTATCTATATGGAAATTCTGTTACAGTCCGTACTGACAATAATCCCCTAACCTACGTTTTCTCTACTGCTAAATTAGACGCCATGAGTCATAGATGGTTAGCCGCATTATCAACCTATAACATCAATATTATATACAGCGCAGGAAAACATAATAATGATGCCGATGCACTATCTCGACTACCTAACCCTGATACTAGAAACACCATTCTTTTCTCCGATGCAGTTAAAGCTTTACTTCAAGCTCATTCAGAAGATCAAGGTCAGATTCCGGCCATGGAATGTGTTTCTTTGACTCAGCAAGTTTTAGACTTGAATCCCAAATATGAGACATGTTTTGGTACTCACTTTAAAGCTGTCGATTGGAAGCAAGAACAGAAGGGTGACCCTACACTTGTTGGTGTGATACCGCTTTTACAAGCTGGTCATAGACTTACGGATCAACAAAAGTCGCTTGAACCTGAATCTGTGAGAAAATATCTCAAAGAATGGAGTAATTTCGTAATTTACAGATGATGACGTCTTGTATCGTAAAGGCACATCTAATGGGTTCCCTGTTGTTCAACTTGTGTTACCAGATCATTTTCAGGATGTTGTTTTTACAGGTCTTCATGATGAAGCCGGTCATCAAGGCTGTGCACGTACTGTTGCCCTTATCAGATCAAGATTCTTCTAGCCGAAAATGGAAAACAATCTATAGAAAACATCGTATTCGTCATTGCCCTCGTTGTATTTGTCGAAAGACTTTGGATAAGACCTTTGCCAAACTTGTACCTATTCATTCTAGTTATCCCTATGGATTTGGTATGTATGGATTTTTTGTCACTAGAAATGTCAAAAGGATCCTTTGAAAATATTTTGATAATTACAGATCACTTCACTCGTTTCGCACAAGCAAATACCAGCTAAGAATCAAACGGCTCATACCACTGCAAAACTTCTATTTGAAAATTTTCATTTGTCATTATGGATTTCCAAGTCGTTTTCATAGTGATCAGGGTAAAAAAATTTGAAAAGTGAGGTTATTCTTGAACTGTGTGTAATTGCACATATAGAAAAGACTAGAACTACCCCGTATCACCCGCAAGGAAACGGAATGGCCTGAACGTTTTAACGAAAAACGTTGATTGAACATGGCTTGGCAACTCTATAAGAAGACAGAAAGTCCCAATTGGAGAGCTCATGTCGCTGCACTTGTTCATTCCGTATAATTCAACAGCAGCATTTATATAACATATCAATGCAAATTTGAATTAGACTTTTTTCTACAAATTAAATATTTTACTTTTATAAATATATATTTATAAGAGTGAAATCCCTAACTTGCAGTATATACAAATGTATATAAATATATTCTAAATGAAAATTTGTCAAGTGTGAGCTGTCAAAAATCATTATAACTATATATATGCTATATAATTTGTTTATATACGACTACATATTCTAAATGATAACTTAAATAAATAAATTATTTAAAAGAAATATAATTTATTTAGTTACTTGAAATTTGAAACCCAGAGGTTTAAACTGAATGTTTTTTGGACTTTAACGGAGATAATTGTAGTTTGCCGTTTATACAGAAATCTGCCCGGGTGGTATGAAAGTTCGGTTAAGGAATGACTGAATTTGATAGAACACATAACCAAGTTACTGATTTACACAATTGTATTTCTAAAAATGCCACAAGCAAAGATTACAATAAAGAAAACTTTTAAAATTTGAATTTGCATGTACAATATTCAGTTTAAGCGTTTGAGTTTAAACTCTTTATTTTTACACTATACGTCACAGTATTTTTGCAATGACCTGTATATTTGGCTCCTCCTCCTAACAAGTCATTCAATCTCGTTCGCGCATGCTTAGTAGACTGGGTATATAAACCGAGCACGCTTCTGCAAATTCCTTTTCGATCCAGTCTCCGAGCTCCAGAAGCTGCCGTGAACTAACACGGAAAAATACCCACCCGCCCTTCCCATTTGCTTTGCTGTTGTCTCTTTTTTCTGTTTTCAGGTAATTATGACCGGCGCGATACTTAGCCCTTCTTCGTCATGGCTGGAATTATCATTTCAACAGTCAATATTTGTTTTGCGACATCCGGAAATTTACCAACGTCGACTGCCAGACCCCTATCATTTGAATCCGACGTCGGTTCAAAATTTACATTTAACTGGCCTGTACATAACCATAAACATTTCGAACACCTGTGGGATGCAACTGACTTTCGGATATTTGTAGAATAGTCATTAGATAACCTGTAACCGATGTCGGTACAAAACAAAACACTGTTAATTAACTTAACCCATGTGTAAATAAAACACATATTGTCTTTAAAAAAAAAAAATATTGATATAATGGTTATTATCATATCATTACATTGTTATACATGGTTTCAAGCAAGTTTACTTACATTATATATCACACTACTATTTATTTAAAATTATAATTTTTCTTATAAAGAACATTTCTTTTATTGAGCTGTATGTATTTTGTATTTTATATGTTTACTGGCATATCTGAGCAGGTCCGTTGTTCTATATTCCGAGGAATAGTCTGAGGAGGTTTCCTCCGTGCATGCCAACGGATGCTACGGTTCCTCTTAAAAAAGGGGTTTTACGTAGGCGGCCAGTATTCCTAAGACGAATATACGATCAAACCTGTTGAGTAATTGTTCTGGTTTGGAATGTCCTAGACATTCTATGGCAGTTTTGATCGTGATATGCTTGATAAATGTATTTATATATACAAATGGCTGTATCAGTCTTTTCAAAATTTAACTAATTTTTATTGATAATATTTATAAAACATATTTTATAAGCTTCGGATATCAAGTGTTTATCATATCTGGCATTGTCAGCACATTGTCTCTTTTTCGAAACATAATTTTAATTGATTATATCTGAATAAACATATTAAGCTACCGAAGCATATATAAGCAATATATAAAATGTCACTTCCGACTGTTGGGATATGAGTATTAGTCATATAATATTATAATTGATATACATGTAATTGTTAATATTATTCTATAACAGATTGTCTGGAATATTTAATGCTCTTATTCAGCCGTCGATATGGCGAAAATCTAACATAAAATTACAGGTTTTTGCAATCGATGACGAAGCAAAACCTATTTTATAATATTCTATTTTATATAAAGGTTCAAACTCTATTAACTTTATGTTACTTAATGACCAGTCATGACGGAAATTTTATGCCAACCATAAATAAAATAAGTTAAACATATATGTTGCATTTATTATCATTTGTTCCTTTAAAGTGACTATGTTGGAAAAATAATATAGAAATATTAGGGACTTTCGTCATCATGTTTATGTCCGTCTGTGTAAATTTTTTAAGTCAAATATTTTTTATTAGATAATAGAGTTATAAGTTTGACTTCACTCCTTGCAGGGAAACCAACTCTTAACTAATCCGAAGATATTATCGTCGGAGCCAGTCTTCAAGCTGCTCATTAAATGAATTTATGTTACGATAAAAATTACCAGGCAACGGGTACCACAAAACCTCCTTTGATTTAATTTTTGTCCGTATGAATGAACGAATCTCTGACGTCATATCTATATTAGAAATATCACCTATTATAACAGGCAAAATGATATTCCGTTTTGAGTATATGCCCTGATATGCAGCTAAATTAAACTCAAAGGTGTTCCAATAGTCTTTACAGTAAGATTGAGTCAATAGTGCGATGACTTTACGACTTTTACGGATAGTTTTTGGTATGACACTGTATAATTTTTCATTGCCATCAAATTCCTCGCGAATTGTTAATTTGTACCCTCGGTTTTCCAAGAATGGGTATACTTGTTCTGTAATTGTTCTATGCAATGTTACATCATTGCTGATGTCAAAATGCTGTTCGTATGAAATGTAAGCGTCTATTTGAAGCAGAGGTTGTTCTTGATCATCCGGATGGTGATATGGGTCTATTTTGACTCTCCCTATATACCACAGATAACGTAATTGCCAACGCTTATAATAAAGTAATGCTATAACTGAAAACACAAGTAATAATCCGACAAAACCGACCACACATGACGTCAGCACTATCCATGACGTGCATTCATACATCAGTTGTTCTGGTAAAATGTCAATCGCCGATAAACTTATCACAGTTTTATTGATATATAAGCAATGAAGTTCGTGTTTTTGAACGATATTAACTTTTGTTTTGGCAAGCCAATTAATAAAATCTTGATTGTTACAAACGCATAACAGAACGTTTCCGGTTAAAACAAGTTCTACTTCCCTTTTTGATGCTATGTGGTCAAGCGCATCGATATTTTCTCTAGATATATATTCTATTACATTATTAGACAAATCTAGCGATTGAAGTTGCGCCATATGACGTAACAAGAAATTTACGTTTCTTATCGAATTGTTAGCTAAATTCAGAGTTTTTAAATTTGTCAAATTATGAAATATTTTGTAAGGAAGTTCTTTTATTGCATTGTTACTTAGATCTAATTCTTCTAGTTTTTCCTGACTCGAAAAAGTTTGGCAATCATTGTCTCTGTTTAGAGAAGGGCCAATCTGATTGTTTTGTAACAGAAGTATTCTAAGGTTCCCCATGTCGACAAGAGTACGTGGACTGAAGTACGTGAATCTATTGTATGACAAGTTGTAAAATTGAAGTTCTGTTAATCCACGCCAAGGTCCAAGGAAAGCTTTTAATAAACAGCTCGAAGAATCTAAATATTTTAATTTATTTGGTCCAAATGTCAAAGATGGCACAGGGTATCCTAATTTGATGTTATTCATGTAAACTGTCGTCAAATTTCTTGGTAGATAAATTTTGTCGTCATTTTTATGATCATTCAAATTTTCTAGCATATCGCTTATTTTTTCATTCGTGTTGTTGTATTCATTTGTAAAAACAGAGTCGTCGATATTGTTGTTGTATTGATAACTTACATCGAATATCTCTAAAATATCCAATCTCCTGAAATGGTCCAGGAAATTTCCCGAATCAATTTTGTTTTCCTTTAGAGATATATATCTGAGAGTAACGGGAAGATTTTCAACACATTTAGGATCTATGTAAATTATTCTATTCCAACCGAGGTCCAGTGTTTTAAGTGAGGTGTTTGTAAGCCCTTTCAGCATATTTTCTTCCAAATTTATATAAGTTGACGGGTTTCTACACCAGTAGTTGAATCGTATCATTTCTATATTTGTTTCATTTAGTCCAATGGTAGCGTTTTCTATCCCATCTGAACAAAGATATCGATTATCCGTTACTACTAATGTTGTAAGATTTATCAAACTTCTGAATACGTTTGGAGCTACTTTTATGACGTCACATCCTTCAAGATGTAAATAAGATAAAGGGGTTTGTTTGAATTGTTTGAAGGTATTTTCCGTTAAAACAGGCATATTGCAAAATCCATTTTCATCATCTAAATACAAGGTATTTAGATTTGTTAACTTAGCAAATCCCTCGCTAAATTCTGTATTTGGTATACCGTCTAAATGAAGATATCTCAGAGAAGTTGCAGACGACAAAGCAATGTCCGGATAATAACAAACACTGGTATGTACGTCACAATTTCCTTGTAAAAACAATTGGAGGAGTCTTCTTAATGGTTTAAACAAATCGTCTGCGTACGAATTATTCTTGTTTAAATAGTTATAATCCAATGATAATAGTTTTAATTGCATTAGACCGTTGAAAACTCCACTTTCTAAGAATTTGATTTTATTACGACTAAGCGTCAGTGTTTGTAAAGTTGAAAATCTTGCAAATGTTCCAGGTGAAATTTCTCCTATATTATTATTGGATAAATTAAGTTCTATAGTATTCTTAGGAACACAGCTGAATATATCAGATACATTTGTAAGTCCTAATTTCGAGCAATCTACAGTTAACCTCTGTAAGTCAACTTTACAGTTACATTGTTTGAGAATCTCCACTTCTCCACGGGTAAAATAGACAATACTTATCCATAAGCACGTTTGGATAATGCCCAGTTCTCGGTACACGATATGTTGAAACATCGTTAAGTTAAAACATTCACCAACATCTGTTAATTTCCATAAAGCTTACATCGATCTGATAAATGAAATATCACTAGCTGAATAAAAGAGTGTACACATTGCACGCTTTATTGATCACATGTTTAACACAGAACATCTGCGCCGTCATTGATTATAAAGTAAATAGTTTCGCCTCTATTGCCCAAGAGTAAACAGTGTTCACTTTTTATAATAAAGAAGTTGAGTTAAAGTACATAGCCAAAAGTGTTGTATTAATTTTACATCTATGTTACTCAAATTCTTTAATCCATTGATTTGATTGAAGTATCCGTCTAAAATCCAATATAATCAATAAATCATGGTAAGGATTCGTTCTTTTTTCCTTTTTTGTAATATACGTTTATAAAAATCTAGATATCATATCACATGAAAATAAGCGTACGCATCTTGCATACGCTTTTATATGTAAACTTGAAGGCTAGTAGATGGAAGTCCGTATAAATGGTTAAATCTTAAACATTTAAGTCAACTTTATAATGCCGTTTTTTATTATAAGCAGTCACTTTACTCGGACTTCTGTTCAATGTAGGTACACATAAAATCGTACTGTTAAATCTTCTATAACAATGATTGACCAAAATATTCCACTGATATTTATATATAAGTGCTGAGCCTTAATCTTATCATTATCATATTTTAAATAACTAGCGCAACCATTAAAGCTGGAGTATTCCGATTGTTGTCGAGCTCTCGTTTGGATATCAAATATTGACAACCTTAATTATTTTGAAATTAAATCAAGCGAACTAATCTATTCTGTGATCATTCTGCAAAACAAAACGCTAGAATACCATTCGTGTCAAATCAAATCACATACCATGAATCCATCAGTTTGTGTACTATTTCTCAAAATACACTTTAATATTTATGTACCGTAGTTTTTAATTTTTGCATTACATTGCTACGAAGTTATCAAAACCTCAACATTAAAGTACTAGTATATTCAATATTAGTTTTAAAGCTTAACATTTCAATCACTGGTTTAACGAGCTTTGACTACAAATCTTCAATAATTATAATATTATATGTCTTTATTACATACTCGCTTGACTTATTGTAATATTTACACATGTTTCGTTTAAGTATGTATGTAATATATGAAAACATAGTCTAAACGAAAAGTTTGGTTGTAGTTTTAAATCAGACCACTGGGCACTATCGCATTGTTCGGTTGGGTTTTTAAATCCAATTTCGTTCTATAAATAAATATTAGGTCAACGACCTGTACAGATGGTTTCTCTTCGTATTAAATAGTCTATGACTCGATGTCCCGCTCAAATAGGTTTACCTTTATAAGTTTAACTTAATACATGTATAGTCAACGTCAATTTTGGTTATTTTGCCATTTTAAAATTAATTCTATGTTAGTTGCATATGGTGAGGAGAGGTATGTAAGGTTAAAGGAACTCCACTGAGGTTTATAAGCCTAAAACATAACATTTTAATTTTTTACATAGATAAACATGAGCATTTTAAAAAGAACTATAAATAAATTAAAACTAAGAAATGCACAAGAACTACATTGAAAATCATATGGTTGTGCTACTCTCAGTCCGATTTGAGTGAAAGGCGTTTTGGGTCATTTTTCACTTTTATAATAATTATTCTGGAAAAACGGAGCGAGCTAATGATCTGAAATTTTGCACATAAGTTATTAGTATAGATCTACATTAAATTGAGTAATAATCACAAACAATTATTTCCAGTCCCGTGATGACTCAAAAAACCTCAGTAGAGTCCCTTTAATGTTATAATACAAACAATCGTTTATATACAGACATATAACCTATCAAGAATCTTTACAACGAATTTATAGTTCAGCAAACTTATTTTGTTAGAGGAAAATATGAAAAAAATATGAAATTAGTTTATAGAATTACAGCAGCAGTGTTTAGTTTATAGAAACATCATGACTAACGAAAGGAGACGTTACAAACTCGCAGAATAATACATTTTGATGTTGTGTCATGTGCGTTATACAAAACTAATGTTAAGAATCGATTTGTTTGACACAGATTAATTTTTGGAAGTTTTTTTGTAAGCTGTTGTTATTTTCCATAATTATTTACGATTTATCCGTTGGTTTTAAATGGTAGTATCATCTTGTAGTTCTTGATACTAAAAATCATAATTTGGGGTCGATGGCCTAGATTGTAATCGCGTAGTTGCAAGTTCGAATCATTGACAAACTTTTTTTCAGCTATATTGGCAGTATGACCGGATATAAGTCATTTGACAGGTGTATTGTTTTTGTTCTTGTTATTTTGTATTTTTTTGTTTGTGTTTTTGTAAGTTTGTTTTTTCAGAGCAAGTACTACATTCACACTTTACGAAAGTTGTTTGTTTCTATTCGGTATTCAAATGTTGATACAGGTTTAATTTGTATCAAGAATATCGATGTGATCATTTAGCGCGGAGGAAGGTAGTTTAGTACTGGTGTAACTCTCCAGGAACGATGGTTAAGAAACTACCCGCCTATGTTGAAAAAGGCGTAAAATGAAACAAACAAACAAAATATACAATACATGCCTGTCCGGCTTAGACCTCGGTTCTTAATGCTGATACGAATAGTTTAAGTAAAATCTGACACAACCTTTAATTTTATATCACTTTAAATTCAACTCGGTTTAAGGACAAAAAAAAAACTTCCCTGCTAGAGCCTCTATGTGAACAAAATATGGCGAATCAGAATGTGCAATAATCATAAATATTTTTTGGACTTATAGAATGCCAAAACTCATTATAATAAAAGGGAAGCAACTTAAATTATATAACAAATATAAATAGTAATAGTTACTTTTCTTGTAGTTAAAAGCATAATACATGGTGGCTAATATATACGAAAGACCAGTGTAGCCAGTTCAACTTCATGTATTCATGAATTCCCGATTTCATCTTCACGAATTCTCAATTTCAACTTCACGAATTCACGGTTTCAACTTCATGAATTCACGATTTCAACTTCATGAATTCACGATTATAACTACACGAATTCAACTTCATGAATTCGCGATTTCAACTTCACGAATGCACGATTTCAACTATACGAATTCACGGGTTTAGCTTTATGAATTCACTATTTCAACTTCAAGAATTCACGATTTCAACTTCAAAAATTCACGATTTCAAGAATTCACGATTTCAACTTCATGTTGAAGTAAAATCGTGAATTCGTGAAGTATATATCGTGAATTCGTGAAGTTGAAATCGCGAACTCGTGAAGTTGAAATCGTGAATTTATGAAGCTGAAATCGTAAATTCGTGAATTCCGTATGTTGAAAACGGGAATTCAGGAAGTTAAATTTGTGATTTCATGAATATGAAATCGAAAATTCATGAAGTTGAAATGGCGCAACCGGTCTTTTGTAGATATACGCCATGTGTTCGCTACGACAACATTCACTTCACGCCTACCAAATTTTCTACGAGAGTGAAACCATGTCCGTCCAATCATATTTAAACCTAGAGCTTTATGCTATCGTTTGTCGTTATTCGTTGTCAAAGAATCTATTTAACACATCTGAATAATCTTCTAGATTTAGGCAGGTAGTAGTAGACTTGATGCTGATCAAATGAATATTTATTTATATAAATTATTCCATCAATGATTCTTTTTTTTTTTTTTTTTTTTTTTTTTCGTTTGTTCATGTTTGACGTTATAGCTCGTTCAGTCGCTATAACAGCGCACCAAAGCTTTAGGTTCGAATATGAATGGACGGACATGGATTCACTCTCGTAGAAAATTTGGTGGAGATCGTTTCATATCGTACTTTGTTTTATAGGAAGTGTTAACAAAGTTCTTTGAAAGATCCATTAACCCCGTTAAAGCACAGTGTGATCGCGCTGTAAAGCACACTGAATAACGGACAACTGCTACATGAAACGCTGTAAGAACGCAATAGAACGCAAAGGAAGCTGCTAAGCAACACATTTGTCGCCGTGACAGCGCCCTCAAATCTACATATTTATGAATAAAAAACATCATTTTCTTACGATCCCTCGGGTCTGTTAAACAACGCCGTGCCAACGCAGTTGAAACGTGGTATAGTAAACCATCGTTTTCATAATACTTTCACACTAAATAATTTCTAAATTCTAGTTTCTTTCAGTTTCTCGAAATATCATAAAACGGACCGTGGTTAAATCAAAACGTTAAACTTTGGCTTGATAATATCTAGAACGCGATTTCAAGTACTTCATAAATCGTTAATGATACCTCCACCCGTCTTTATCCCATCCGCAGTTCGGTTAAGATCGGATTGAGTTACCCGGTAATGTCATTTTCAATCAGTTAAAGGTTGTATGTAGTAAGTTTACATCATTCCATTCTGTTGTGTTACTATTTCCACAACGATCATTATAATACATGGAATTGCGTTTGAACTAGTTCGTAACACGACCACACGTTCGCCGACATTATATTAGTTCTGACGACGTGCAGATTGTCATTGCAATCACGATCTGGCCTGACAAACTTGGCATGTTAAGTCAGCAAACCCCTCTCTCTCAATTGAAGGTCAGGTCCAAATTACTGAATCTACTTAGGATGCCATGGTGTCTCAATATCAAGATAATGAGGTTGTTTTACGTATACTCTGTAATGACATGTCGTTTGCTACGTTTTATCGCATGTGACATGTCGCAGGTCGGTAAGGACCACCTTTCTGAGAATATGTCGTAGCCTACGACGCCGTAGAAAATGTAACAGCTCTGCGGCAGAGTATCGGTTGTCGTATGACGTTTATGTGACGTCAGTCTGTCTCTGTTTACATGTATATATATTCTGTACATAATTTGTATGAATGAAATAGGCGAATAAAACTTTTTTCCAGAGCAAAACACCTGTTTTAGAATGCCAAACTCTATTCAGGTAACCTAGACGTACGCTCTAAGTTACGCCAAATTGAAAGACATGCACCACCTTACATTTTGTCTCTTCATTTGTTCCTAAGCATCTCTACCAACAGGGCAGGTGATACCTTCATTTTTTTAGCTCACCTGTCACAAAGTGACAGGGTGAGCTTTTGTGATCGCTTTTCGTCCGGCGTCCGTCCGTCCGTCCGTCCGTCGTCCGTCCGTCGTCCGTAAACTTTTGCTTTAAATGACATCTCCTCATAAACCACTGAGCCAATTTCATCCAAACTTCACAGGAATGTTCCTTTGGTGGTCACCTTTAAAAATTGTTCAAAGAATTTAATTCCATGCAGAACTCTGGTTGCCATGGCAACCGAAAGAAAAATCTTTAAATATCTTCTTTTAAACAACCCTAAGAGCTAGAGCTTAGATATTTGGCATGAAACATCTTCTAATGAGTGTCTACCAAGTTTGTTCAAATAAAAGCCCTGGGGTCAAAATTGGCCCCGCCCCGGGGGGTCATTGATTTTCCCTATATGCATATAGTAAAAACTTAAAAAATCTTCTTTTAAAGAACTGTAAGAGCTAGAGCTTAGATATTTGGCATGAAACATCTTCTAGTGAATGTCTACCAAGTTTGTTCAAATAAAAGCCCTGGGGTCCAAATTGGCCCCACCCCAGGGGGTCATTGATTTTCCCTATATGCATAAAGTAAAAACTTAAAAAATCTTCTTTTAAAGAACCCAAAGAGCTAGAGCTAAGATATTTGGCATGAAACATCTTCTAGTGAATGTCTACCAAGTTTGTTCAAATAAAAGCCCTGGGGTCAAAATTGGCCCTGCCCCGGGGGTCATTGATTTTCCCTATATGCATATAGTAAAAACTTAAAAAATCCTCTTTAAAAGAATCGTAAGAGCTAGAGCTTAGATATTTGGCATGAGACATCTTCTAGTGAATGTCTACCAAGTTTGTCCAAATAAAAGCCCTGGGGTCAAAATTGGCCCTGCCCCGGGGGTCATTGATTTTCCCTATATGCATATAGTAAAAACTTAAAAAATCTTCTTTAAAAGAATCGTAAGAGCTAGAGCTTAGATATTTGGCATGAAACATCTTCTAGTGAATGTCTACCAAGTTTGTTCAAATAAAAGCCCTGGGGTCAAAATTGGCCCCGCCCCAGGGGGTCATTGATTTTCCTGAAATGCATATAGTAAAAACTTATAAAATCTTCTTTTAAAGAACCCAAAGAGCTAGAGCTAAGATATTTAGCATGAGACATGTTCTAATGGGTGTCTACCAAGTATGTTTAAATAAAAGCCCTGGGGTCAAAACTGGCCCCGCCCCGGGGGTCATTGATTTTCCTTATATACATAGCAAAAACTTAAAAATCTTCTTTGAAAAAACCCAAATAACTAGAGTTTAGATATTAAGCATGAAACATCTTTAAGTAAATATCTACAAAGTTTGTTCAAATAAAAGCCCGGGGGTCAAAACTGGCCCTGCCCCAGGGGTGTCATTGTTTTTAACTATATGTGTATAGTAAAAACTTAAAAAATCTTCTTTTAAAAAACCCAATGAGCTAGAACTTAGATGTTTTGCATGAAACATCTTCTTATGGGTGTCTACCAAGTCTGTTCAAATAAACAAATAAAAGCCCTTGGGTAAAAATTGGGCCGGGGGGGGGGGCTATATACAGGTGAGCGACCTCAGGGCCATCATGGCCCTCTTGTTAGCTTCACCGCTAGTGCATCACAATCTTGTCTCATAAATAAGCTGATTGTATTTCAGATCCACGGAATTCGTACAAAAGAATGGCATGACAATCACATGTAGCCAGATGACGACGCTGTGTAATGCCAAGCTTCAATCCTAGTTTCAAAGCTTGTCTGTTATAATTGTGTTTTCTTTTCCTATCAAGGGGATGATGCGTTCAAGCAATTCGATCTAATATAGGTTAAAATGGGGTAATTCTAAAACGTTGTAAAAGGACCATTTGTCATCAAAACAGAACTTTATCTATTGATGATAATATCCTAGAGGTAATCTTCTGTTTAGGCTGAACTGCAAGTTTAACCAGGTCTTAACCCACATGTTCTTTATCTTCTTCGTCTCTTATCCTCTGTTGCTTTAACATCTCCTTATTCTGGTTCCAAACTCCCAGACTCCCCTTCAAACAGTTCAAATTGAATATGAATATAAAATAGTACTTTAGTTGTTACTGTAATGATTTAATTCTGAGAAGTTATAGCTTTATATGATCTGAAAAGAGTTTTCATTTGATATAAATGTTTATGAAATGAAATGTAGTGATAAATGAAGTTAATCAATTGATATGCATTGTTGAATACAATGTACCATGTTGATTCTATTGGGCTAGTACACGGCTGTTATAACTATATAAGAAGTGGCGCTAGCCCGCTAGAATCCAGTATGGTACTCAACAATGTCTTACAACCTCATTATATGTACCACACACGTCTACATTTGGTTGAATACATTTATATGTGTGATGTAAATATAGTCTTATTTCTAACTGGTGTGCATATATTAATGATCCGTGACGTAAATTGTTCAACAATAACAACTTATGTTAGGCCTATACTAACGAACTATAATCATTATCAGTTTTAATAGCATTTTACTACAAATGTTTTGTTTCCTTGTGCATACACTGATTTTGAGATTTTCTTATAAATACTTTATGTGCACCAAGGGCATTCCCAAGAAAATGTCGCTGAACAAACGCCGTAACCAGATCTAGTTATGTCCTTGACGACTCTATTCAGCCCAATACAAATAGTTTCGTTTGGCACACCATTAGGTCCTTCATCCGGCTGTCCGTTAAGAGCGTATAGACATGAATGGCAAAGTTTGAAGTCTAGACCCTCGCTGTTGGTGATTCGGATATGTTCATTACTGATATAGAGTGTAACAGTGTCCACATTGTCAGCAAGAGCGTGGACAATATGCATCAAACTGTTAATTGAGGGACAATTGTCGCTCGGATATACTGTGATGTTAGGAAATAGTCCCTGCGTCTCTGCATCGTTCATTTGTTCATTATCATCACCCCCTTCAATGGAAAAAGTCACGAATTTTAAAAAATACTCAAATATTAAAAACAATATTTAGAAGCAGTTTAAATAAAAACATGGTCACGGTGTTTAGTAGTAAGCACATAAAAACTTAAACTGAATGAGAGGTCATGCCGTTTCATATATATATATGAAATTATGTAAATACAAACTTAATTATCAAATATGTTTTTAAACAGAAAGCTTTGATTACTTTCGAATAACTGCAACAACAATATTACTCTTTCATATAAATTATAAATTTACAATCATTACAATAAATTTAAGTAGACATATCTTTCATATTAGTTATAAATTTACAATCAATACATTAAAATTTAAGTAGACATAGATGATTTAAAGCACAAAAGGATCTGATTTTTTTTCTAGTAACTTGTCATTGTGTGAGATCATCATTTATTTATTCATTTATTTGACTGTTATAAATGTAGAACATGGAAAAATAATGGGCTTGCTACCGTTCTATTAACTTCGCGTTATAAAATATATTCAGTGTAAAAGTAAGTTATGCATTCGTTTGTTTGTACTTAAAATGGAAATGACAAGCTTTCCTAACCATTGCCAAAATGAACGCTTCTACCATGTCGTTTATCAAATCTGAAACATTTAAATATAGTTTCTTTAAGTAACAAATTTCCAGTTTTCAGCCATTGTATGAATTAAAAATATATTGTTTGAGAGATAAAAACGTACTGTAGCCATTGTTGGATTCGCTGTCACCAACATTGAATAGCCACCCACTTCTCCTAGCATTTGACAGACGAAGTTCAATTTTTAACATACGTTTACCACAATATGGTGCTTCCAAACAACCGAAACATCCCGCCGTGTCTATCTTGTCAAAGTTCACCTTTAAATCACATGAACAATTATATCTATAAACATTAAATGATGATAATACTGAAATGTATAACTGTGTGTTTGTTCGATGTACGAGATTAATTCAGTTCGATTAAAAGTCTAAAAACCCTGATTTATATATAAGTGTACAACTTCCTTAATACATTGAGTATCTTAAAAGTTGAACATTTTAATCACCTCTAAAGAAGAACATTTTATAATGTATTGTCTAGGACACTTAATGATTTGAATATACATAGTAATAGAAAGTGATTGTACAAGCGGTCATTGTTTAAGCGAAACCAAACATCTAGAAACTAACCTATGACTAAGTGTTACCTTATTACACCGAAATACAACATCAGTATTGTTTACAGAATACTTCGATAAAAGTAGACTTTGATCTGTTATTCATGATTTCAGTTTCTAGTTTCTATGTTTTTCATACTATAAAGTTAAACAAAATATGTTTCTTACGACAACAAGAGCGGTTGAACTACACGCTTGTTTTTTGTTCCGTCCTTCACCTTTGTGTACTTGTAACAGAGTCACTCCATCAACAATGTCCCGTTTGCTGTTTTTACCTGTTTTGTTAACACAATTTATATATAAGAATGTAAAGGTTAGAATATCACTAGCGACATGTTATTCTTGTAAAATTTTGCATTTACTGAATGGACTCGCCAAAAAATCATTTTGAACAGTCTGTATTATCAGTTTCAAGAAGAGATATCGTGATGAAATTTTTAAGTTAGTTAAAAACAGTGTATGCCTCGGTCAGATGGTAACAATACGCAGACTGGTCTAGTACTATACTTATTACAAGGGCTTTATCTTAACTCAGCATTGCAGGGGTAAACAGATACGTTTTGAAGTTCGGAAATAGACATCGGAAGAAAAGTGACGGAATGCAAAGAACTTGTCTATTTAATCAGTGGAAACCAGTCATCCGCTACTACGTTGCATTATTTGAAACAAATAATTCATGTTCATCTACATAATGTATCATAGCACACTTCATACAAATCCTGTAATTTCATCAAAAATCTGTCTCTAACTTACTACAAAGTATAACACGTTTAAAAGTGCATTAATACATAAGTAACTAACTTTTTTATAAATTCATTTTTAAAGAAGTAAAGATTCATTCTTCAAAATTTATACTTGAAGAATTTTGAAATCAATTCATGTCCACTTTTCCATAATAAATACAAATATACATTCATTAAGTATTACAGATAGGTTTCAACATAATTATCTGAACGGAAGTTTATCTTAAGTTTACATTTCCTTTTTTAAGTAACAAAGGGCCACAACTGAAAAACGCAAGAGTCGATTTACATATTATCATCACAAGTATTGTTTAAATGTAATATAGAAGTTGAAGGTTTTAACTGAGATGGACATTTATCGCCAAAATTATAGTTTTTTTTAAGTACAAATGGGTTATATGTCAAATTTGTATTGCTTGATAGGTATGGCATCTGTTCCTCCTCGGTTGCAAGTTCATATACATGTATATTTATACATAGTTTCATAACAATTTGACTAGCAAAGTCAGTTATATTAGTGGCAGGATGAATAAGACGGACAACATCACTCCAATACCCCCTTTCTGTTCTCATTAGTTTGAAGGGAGAAGCTATAAAACTTACCTCTGTTTAAATCAACGGTAAGCTTCCCTCCAACACAACAAGGCGGTGTTTGTTTTTGGCAAATTTTAGGTCCTTTATAAGGTGGCTTTAGAGTTGGTCCAAATGTAGGCAAATCTTCTTTCTCCTCTACGTAAAGTAAAAGAAATTTATAGTTACTGTAAAAGAAAAAAAAGTCTTTGCTAGAATAATTTCAGATTGATTATTTCAAAGTCTTTGCCAAATCATTTACAAAAGTGATTGTGTTAAAAATTATAGCCCCGATTAGTAGAAATAGACCTCTTTCAGTTTATCTATTAAGGTATGGCAATATAAGACTAATACATTTTCTATTACTTTTTTGCCGGGATTGTATCGGCAGATTATCAAAGTAATGAAATAAATTACTAGACATGACGATAGTGACGTTTTCAACTTTGACAAGTTTTAACGTTCCTTCGTTCAAATGAATCAAAATGTTCCTTTGTTTTTAAATTCTCAATTAGACAGCATGATTCATACTCTCTATTTCTTAAATGATGAAAAATTCTTCTTAATTGATTAAATAGATATTACTTACATTTACATTGTATTATTTATAAAAAGCTTAAAACTAATCATTTTGTTATCAACTAAGTGAAATCAAACTTTCTGTAAAGTTTTAACATACGAGTAACAGCGATGCTCTCCTCAGTTGTTGGTTCAGTAACACTATTCTTCTCAGGTGTTGGTTCAGTGACATCATTTCCCTCAGTTGTTGGTTCAGTAACACCTTTTCCCTCAGTTGTTGTTTCAGTAACAGCGTTTCCCTCAGTTGTTGGTTCAGTAACAGCGTTTCCCTCAGTTGTTGGTTCAGTAACAGCGTTTCCCCCAGTTGTTGGTTTAGTAACAGCGTTTCCCTCAGTTGTTGGTTCAGTGACACTATTCTTCTCAGTTGTTGGTTCAAAAACACCGTTGTCTTCTGTCGTATGTTCAGAGTTTTTCGTCCTTTCCGTTGTGGTAAGTGGACTTTTTGATCTTGTTATTGTAGAAAAGGTAGGATTAGTTTCCCTACTCTTGGGTAGCCATGGCTTTTCGTTGCTTTTACTCTTCCTTGGCCATGGAAAATCATTACTTTTACTATTTTTTGGCCATTGAAAGCCATTACTTTTGCTCTTCGTTGACCAAGGAAACCTATTGCTTTTGCTCTTTTGTGGCCATAAGAAGCCATGACTTTTACTCTTCAATCCTGTTTGAGTGTTTTTATCTTCTGTAGATGATGAATGTGACGATTTGTATTTGCTGTTGTGCAACGATTTGCTATGGGAGTCTTTAGATTCAGAAGAATGACCTTTTTCTGACGTCTGAGTATTAGATTGTTTTGTGTCCTTTGACGAGCTTTTAGATTTAGGTTTAGAAGATGAAACGTCAGACTTTTTCTCCTTTGACCTTTCAATTGTCTCAGACCTGTCTTCATTCTTTACTTTGTTTGTCCAACTATTCCAATTTTGTTCAGTTTTGTGTATGCTACTGTGTGACGCTCTGCTACGAAAGTCTTTAGATTTAGATGAATGGCCTTTTTCTGATGCCTTAGATTTAGAATGATTCGATTTCTTTGACGAGCTTTTAGATTTAGTTTTATCAGACTTTTTCTCCTTTGACCTTTCAATTGTCTCAGACCTGTCTTCATTCTTTACTTTGTTTGTCCAACTATTCCAATTTTGTTCAGTTTTGTGTATGCTAATGTGTGACGTTCTGCTACGAAAGTCTTTAGATTTAGATGAATGGCCTTTTTCTGATGCCTTAGATTTAGAATGATTCGATTTCTTTGACGAGCTTTTAGATTTAGTTTTAGAAGATGAAGTGCCCGACTTTTTTGCTTTTGACCTTTCAATAGTATCAGACCTTTCATTATCATTTCCTTTGTTTGTCCAACTATTCCAATTTCTGTTAGTTTTATCTGTTGTATCATCATCTGATCCACTTAAAATACTGATAGAGTTTCTGCCATTATTATTAAATGTAGGCCTTTTAAAAAGCCAGCCACCCACGTTTCCAGCTTTATTTGATCTAGAACTAGCTTTATTTGATCTAGAACTATCTCCAGATGTTCTTTTGCTAGATCGGTCAACATTACCCCAAGAGCTCCAATTAGTATTTGTATTTGTAGGTTTCTTAAATATTCCGAAGTTACCAATACCACCAACATTGCGAGATCTAGAACTATCCCGTGAACCTGATGTTCCTTTGCTATATCGTCCAGCATTTGTATTTATAGGTTTCTTGAATATGTTGAAACCACCAAAGCCTCCAAAATTACGTGATTTAGAATTATCCCGTGAATCAGATCCTTTAACACCGCCCCATGCATTCGAGTTTCTGTTCGTTATTGTAGGTTGTTTTAATAAAGATCCAGTCCCAAACGTGTGCGAGTCTTTGTTGTAAAATGTTTTGTGGTTTTGAAAGTTATTGCCGTATAGTCCCCATGTTGACTCTATAACATCGAAAGAAATTTGGATGATGATAAGTTTCAATAAAGTACCCAACATTCTGGAAACATATAATAAGTAGATGAAATTAATGTCAGTAACCAGTGATCTTCAATATGTGTTCATTCTATTCCCTTGTCTAATTTCTAAGCACTTGTAAAATGTAGGAGAATACTAATAGTTTATTAAAATTTAAATCAACTGTTTTCTTAATAATCTGTTGTGCTTAACATTAATATATCTAGAATTCCATTGAAAGCTTCAAAAATACTTTTCCAGAATCTATTTTGCCTTACAAACATGTAAAATGATAGCATAAGGGGATGGAGTTGATATATTTTGAGAACAAATACAACTGAATGTAATATAATATTATGTAAATTTGTTTTACAGTAAAGAAAATATTTAGCCTAAATACATGATCAAAGTCAGTTCAAGCAAATCATCATGCTATTTTTTTCTGAGCAAATAAGACTTAAAGGGGGTTCATAGGTAGCATTTTGTAGAATTATTTGACAGATATTCACATTTTCAAAAATTATTTTTACAATCTAGTCTTTTCATCTATATATTAATTAGTTCATTATTAAAATATATTACCTTACCTGTTAATATAATTTAAGAATCACAACACAAATTGTTCAGCTATTGCTGATTAATCTCTTGTTTTCTCTGTTCTCTTAATTTATGATTTTATTTCTTGTAATTCACCTTCCCTTAAGGCACTGGAAAGGCCAATAATTTTTGACGCAAGTGTTACACCGACAACTAATCCGTCAACATAGACTAATTCTTCTTTAATCAGTAATTACATGTTGTAATCCGCGTGATCTCTGATGCTTGATTAACTTTGTCATAATCTCAAAGAACAGATAAATTAGCTATACGCACGTGTGACCATCCTTCGACTCCCATTGTTTTGACATGACATCAGAACACATTTAATCCATTTTGAAAGAAACAAAGATAAAGGAAACTGTTGCAAAATTTATAAAGGTATATACGTGTATCACCTTGATGAATATGCAACACCACTTATTTTTGTTTTACTTTAACTTAAATTTATATTTCATATATGTCCATATTCGAGCATAAACAGGTTAATTCAATTATTATCTGTATTTCATGATATCATAATAAGTTTATTGGTGCTTTTTAAAAGAACACTGCAAGCAATCTTTTCAATATTGAAAATCTTATGTTTGATAGTAAAGTATTATTTATATAAATGTTAAGAATAAATAGTTTGATACATTTTGTAGTAAAAGCATATTAATCTGGCATGTTGTCTATTCAAAATGATCTCGATGCACCTTAACCTGCATTGAGAATTACATTATCATTCTTCAGTTTGCTCCCAGTGAGAAAGAGAATGTTATGACAGACTTATATTCGGGAAGGATATGGCTTTATAATAACAAGTTAAGGTGTTCTCTCGAGTATTTTCCTTCCCCATACAATATATATTAATATATATTAATATAAAGTAAAATAACACCCTATGATTAGCTTTACGTTTCACCAATACTGTAAAGGTCCTATGTCGACCTTCCAGCTTTACTGGAAGAGGAAAATCTCAGTGGCCCATTCGTGCATTTTTATAAAGAACGAGCCGGCACCTTATTAGAACCACCAACGTTCCGTAAGCTAAATGGATAATTTCCTCACATGAAATATTCCTAAGTCCCTAACTCCTACACAGTGGTCCCATTTTGCTCCGATAACAAAGTATCATAAGTATTTTCATTAAAATTTAGATAAAATTTGATGCAGATAAATTATTGTAATTCGGATACATGCTCTTCTATATGAAACTGAATAGTAATTTTTTGCTTAAGATTGATTTAATTGAAAACACATATATCATTATGCGGAAACATTTGGTCATGTACGTAACATGCTGTTGCTCTCAGTAAAGTTAGAATAGAATGTTTGCAATCTAAAAACATATTCAAAATGTTTGCTGAATTTATTCAGTTTATTGATCAGTTCATTTTTCCATTAAAGCCGAATTAACGTTTTTGATACAAATAGATATTTTCCACTGATACAGCTTTCTTTTGGCGTAGTTGCTAAAATAACACACTTTGCAGGCACGTGCCGTTAGCTGAAGCACTAAATTTGCCAAAGTTCCTGTCGGGATTCGAACTCACACTAGTCATGAACAATTCGCTTGAAGTCAACCACCTTGTTCACTCAGCTACGGACGCCCCTTAAAAACAGAATCCATTATTGTGTATTGATTAATATGCAAATTATGCTAAGGGAAATATGTTTACGGGGAAATATCACATAGGACAGAATATTAGAATATTAAGGTAGCGTATTTTATCTTAATGCATTACTCACATTTGAGGAATATCTAAATAGACTATAATTACTGTAAACTGTATTGAAACTGAGGATTGTGGTTTAAACCCCAGTAGGGTCAACTTTTTTGTTTTCCATTTTGTTTTCTTTTGACATTATTTATGTATCAATATCAGATCCATTTAAGAGAGAAAGAAAAATGTTTGATTTTGATTATATCATTATTATTTGTAATTATTGGCAAAATAATTGGATTAGAATTACGGGTGCCTTAAATGTCATGTACAAAGAAAAATCAAAATTATACAGTAAAAGTAGTGTAATTCGAATCTAAAAAGATCAACCAATGTACTCGGCAAGCTTTGAAAACTGCAAAGAAGATTTAGTAATTTCTAGAAAAATATTTAATCAGGCACTCCAAGTAGAACCACAGACTTTTCGTAAGCTAGTTTGGATAACTTACTCACATAATAGAATATAAAGTCTCTGTCGGGATTGGAACCCACAGCGGTTTGATGCAAGTGGTTTGAAGTCAAGTCATAGACCTTACAATACATTATTTTCACAGACATCAAAACAAGTGTTTTTTTTTTGTTTTTTTTTTTTCATTTTATAGTCATATTTGTTATTGAAATACAGTTATTTCTTATCTAATGAAAGTTGTTTACTGAGACATGATATCGTGGGGCCAGGCTATTTTTGAAAAACACGATTTCACCATTACACTAGAAAGCTAGAAAACAAGTTAAGATTTTTTTTTCTTTTTTAGATGATTAGGGTTGTTTCATATGGACGTAGACCAGAGTTCTTAATCTTTAATACCCACTTTTTATATTTTGTTGATAAGGCATCGCGAGGACAAAACACATAATTGCATAAAGTTTTGAAATTTTATTATTTATTCACGTCTAATGTCTACATTTCAAAGTTAGATACAATAAAATATTAAACACTGAAAATTTGCACACTGTATTGAAATGATAAGTTTTGTTTTAAGTTAATACTCGTAAACGGTCATTGACAATATAAGGTCATACTGAGAATGAAGACCTCGAGGACCCTTGGATATTTTTTGGTTTTGTCAGGCACGCGCGAGAACAACAATCTTTTAGACATTATTTATATCCACTTTACTTGAGAGAATCATCAGCTTCTGTTAGGATGCGAATCAACAGGTGTAAGAGTTAAAGGACTCAAAACTAGCGACTTAATCACTCTATAACTGATGTCCTTTTTCTGGAAATTAATTTAAGTTTGACGATATCACTGTCTTCCCTGTGTTTGTCTTTAGTCAAGATCAATATATATATTCCAATTGCATCAATTCAATGTCTTATCAAAGACTCAAGCTGTTCCATAAATGAGTTATTATCACGGTCAGATAATGGGTAACGGATTACTTCATTTGATCTCAGTTTTGTTTTTACAAAAGACCTTATTTCAGGCGTAAAATTTTTCTCTGAAACATCTCCTAGCAAAACCGGTATAATCACGTCCCGTGTCTTGTAAATTCCTTCGTAAGCTGCAAGGTTAAACTCAAATATATTCCAATAATCATCACAAAATGTTGGTGTTAGAAAAACAACCACTTTGCGACTTTTCCTTACAGTTTCAGGAATTACTTTATATAAACGCTCATAACCATCAAATTCCTCTCGGATCTTTAAAGCATAACCTCGCTGCTGAAAGTAAGGGTACAAACGATCTGCTATAATACGGTGCAGTGACATTTCATCTGTGACATCATAGTGCAGATCGTATGAAATGTAAGCGTCTATTTGTAGAAGTGGTTGTTCTTGGTCATCGGGATAATTGTAGGGATCCATTTTCAACCTCCCTATATACCATAGATATCGAAGTTGCCAGCGTTTATAGTATAACAATGCAATGAGAGACAAAATAAGCAACAAAAATATAAAGCCGATGACGCATGATGTCACAACTATCCATGACGTGCACTCATATTTCAGGTTCTCTCTTATAACTGGGAGTTGTGATAAACTGATGAAGGTTTGGTTTATGTATAAACAAGTTAGCTTATCTTTCCGAATGATATTTATGTTTGTTTTTGCTAACCAATCAATAAATTTGAAATTATTACAGGTGCAAGCGAGATTGTTTTCAGATAAATCTAAAAAGAATTCTACATTTCTAGCTATGCGGTCCAGGAATATCATGTTTTGTTCAGACATGTATTCAATTTCGTTACCAGATAAATTGAGGAAACGTAGGTTAGTCATAGAATTCATCATAAAGCTGATATTTTTGAGACCATTGTTTGCCAGTGAAAGGTTTTTCAGGTTAATTTGTTCTTTAAATATGTGATATGGCAAATCTTTTATTTCATTACTGCTCAGATCAAGCTGAGTAAGCTTGTTAAGACTTGAAAATGTTTTCCCATTCTTATCTTGTAGAATTGATTTACCAATCTCGTTCTGTTGCAAGAGGAGGACCGACAAATTCATCGCATCAATGAAAGACAAAGGATGAATATATCCGAATCTATTATGCGACAAATCCATATATTTAAGGTCATGAAGACCATACCAAGGTCCTAGAAACGCTGTTAACATGCAGCTAGAGGCTCTAAGGTATCTCAGTTTGTTCTGTGCAAACCTTAAGGAAGGTACGGGATATCCGAGTTTTATATTATTAATGTACAACGTATCCAAGTTTCGGGGTAAATATACAAGGTCTTCGAAGAGGTTTTCACTGTTTGAATGATTGTAAATTGCCTTACTGTTGCTACTTGGTAAATATACATTTTGGCTTGATATAATTGAATTTTGTTTCATATGTTTATTCGGATTTACACTCAGATCAAAGTGATTTTGATAGCTTCCGTCAAGCGTCCTAAGGTTCACAAGTCGGACCAATTTCTTTAAAAACTTTGCAGTTGTGATACTGTTTTCTTTTAAAGATATATATTCAATTGATAATGGAAGATTTTTAATTACGCTCGGGTCGATATAATAAATGTTATTCCAACCTAAATCAAGATGTTTTAATGAAGTGCTTGTCAGACTTTGAAAATTATTCTTTGATAGAAGTGGGAAATATGGGGGATGTCTACACCAATAATTAAACCTTATAGTTAGAATTTGCGTTTCATTCAATCCAATAGTTGCATTTTCAATACTGTCTGAACACAGCTTTTTGCAACCTGTGATGATCAAAGTTGTCAAGTTGTGCATCCAACGGAATACATTCGGTGTCAAATTCACTATATCACATGACTCAATTTTCAAATGAGAGATATGGCTATTCTTGAAAACACTAAATGTAGCCTCTGTTAGAGTTGGTAAATAACAAAAACCATTATCGTCACTAAAATACAGATAATTTAACTGTTTCAAGTATGAAAATCCTAGTCCTAGGTTTGTGTTCGGAATACCATCTAGATGTAAATACTGAAGAGTGGGAGCGAAAGACAAAGCTTTATCCGGATAAAAACATTGATACGCTCTGATATTGCAATTCCCCTGTAGACTAAGCCGGCGTAAATTATGAAGCGGTTTAAACAAGCCGGCTGGGAAAGAATCATAATGTTTCAGTGCGTTATGACTTAACACTAAGGTGTCTAGCTTCGATAATCCTAAAAACGTATCATTTGTTAATTTTTCAAATTTGTTGTGGTCCAAGTTTAAAGACCTCAATAATGGCAATCGTAAAAATGTGCCATCAGGTATTGAAATAAGTTCGTTATTGCTAACAATAAGGTCTATCGTTGTGTTTGGTACACACTTGATAATTTTTATAACACTAGTAAGTCTCAAACTCGAGCAGTCCGCAATACGACCTATATGATCATATTTGCACGGGCATGGTGTAATAACCTTTCCTTTTACATTATGAAAAATGCTAAATAGTATCAATATACTATAAATCTCCATCCTTTATTTAACAGCAGTACAGAATGTATCTTCCCAAATGCGTCCCACGTAATATATCACCTGCAAATGTCACGTTTACTGTTATTAATGCAGCTTTGTAGAGATCATATTTAGCTAATTTCTTATCGAGTGTTTAATTTTACTTATACAAATGTTCACAAATCAGGCACCCGAAAGTTAAATTCTCTCTCAAAAACTATCGCGACATTTAATGCTTGTCCAGAGCTATTACAATATACCTCGTGAAAACGAAAATCATCCTTAAAACATTGATGAGATACTATTAAACGAGAATTAAATGTACATAGTCACTGTTGTCATATATAAAGATGCACTTCATTTTTAACAAAGTATGAAGTGTGTTACGCCCCTAATTTCCTGTAATAAGATTACACACATCCAGATTTTAATTGTTCTTTTAAAACATGTGGGCTGACTGATGTATTCATCATATAAAATAAAATCTTAAAGTTCAACCACTGCGAAAGAGCGATATGTATTTCTTTTTACATTTTATCATTGCCAGATGCATTTTAAATTAGACTATTAGATATGTTTTTATAGTGATTATCAGGCAGATCCAGGACACTTTTGAGAGTCTAGAGATATTTTCTGTACACTTTCTGTTCAGAAAGAAACTGTTTGAAAGATTTTTGCAGATTCTTTAATAAATAAAGATTAATACGCGAATATTCAAATCAAGTCAAGTACGTCAGAATCATTTATTTTACTCATTCAAAGTGCAAACACAACTCTATGACGTGATAACATTCTAGAGTCGTCAATCATATTCTAATCACGATTGGCCACTAAATGAAACTTTACCCTTTGCACTATTGCCTTGTCATTCATTTATAAGAATGATATAAAACACAATGTACATTCTTCATAAATACATCTAATTATATCTATAAAACACATATATTAATCTTAGAGTGTTATATCTGTTGTTTCGTCACTATTAAACTCTCTTTTTGTTAAGTTATCCTAGACCTAAAATAAACTACATGTTATGATGGAGGCGGGAATTTCATTTCTGATATGAATTTAACAAAAAATGCCTGAAATGATAGTTTGAATGAAGATTGAGTATTTTTTTTTTTTTTTCACAAAAAAAGATTTACTCGTTTATAATATTATCGTCAACAGCTTGGAGAAAGAATAGACACCATTGCCAATTTTCTTTTTTTTTACATTTGTGTGTCATTCCAAAGTTAATTAGATAAATATTTTAAGTGCAAGAGTAAGTGTTTCCGGAATATCGAAATCGATGGACCATATGACACACATACATATATCAAGGGGAATAACTTCACCAACATACATTTAATTATAACAATCGTCTCCCTTTATCTGTAGTGAAAGCCATATTCCAGTGCAGATCTGTATAGAATATACTAGGATAGTTCTGATAAATATATTCATTATTGTTCTATGTTTTAACTGAAGTCATGTTTTGTATTAGATATAACCAAATATGGTATTTATAACGTGTAGCAGTTAATATATAAACCGCGTTGTAGCGTGAGGTCAGATACAGGTGGTTAGTTTAGTTTCACACCCATCCACCCATTTTTAAAGATAATTGTTTTGATTCAAAAATAAATATTCTTTGGAATCTGATAACAGTAAAATTTTGACTTCAACAATTACAACAACAACATTTTTGCATACATGTTGTAACAATATTAGAGCTATATACATGAAATAATGCACAGTGCTTCAAGTTCAATATATAGATGTTTCAAATTGAGCCGCGTCACGACAAAACCAACATAATGGGTTTGCGACCAGCATGGATCCAGACCAGCCTGCGCATCCGCGCAGTCTGATCAGGACCCATGCTGTTCGCTATCATTTTTTCTACTTGTAATAGAGGTTGTATACTTCCTACTTGAATACTGTATAATCACCCTTAGGACATGTTGCCTGTTTTTTAAATTTGTGTTTTGACGTCTTATCTGTGATATGCAGGCTTGATAACCTCAGATCCCCTTTCAAATTTCCATTTTATTTAGTTCCGCCCATTGTTTTCTCGTTTAGGGCAAAAGCGTTCTTTTACTTGCGGACCTTACGCCTCTTTTCATGGAATGGCACTACTGTGTCACATTGAAGGTTCCATGATAACCGCCGTATGAACACATCTGCGGATGTTTCTAAATTCAAAATTTCACCATGTTCGTGTTAAATGTTGAATTCTGCTTAAGCCGGTGCTAGGGGGCGTGGAGGTAACTTGCACTTTCCAGTACCGTCCATGAACAGACTCAATCAAACCGAGTCTGCAACATTTTCAATTGTGTTGTGTTGGACCTTCTTTATGGATTCTGTTTTTCTCTATTGTGTAAGCGAACAGCATGGATCCTGATCAGACTACGCGGATGCTCAGGCTGGTCTGGATCCATGCTGGTCGCAAACCCATTGTGTTTGTTTTGTCGTGACGCGGCTCAATTTATTTCATGTATAATGTTGTAAATCTACCTATTTCAGATCGACTTAATTGTCAAATTTTCTTTAAGACTGAAAGAAGAGTGAACGAATATTCATCCATATGTCAAGGATTTAAATAAGTGCCTGAGGGTAGATGGTTTCTTGGCTATTGAAAGTGATTATTTCCTCTCATCTTATGTTTAAGAAAAGGACCCAAAAGACCATATTTCTGGTCATTTTTGCGCAGAAACCATCGTAGTGTGTTTGTTTTTTCGAAATAATTCAATTGAATTGTAATTATCAATGAATAAATGCTTGTTTTGACCACACCTTTATACGTGTCTGTTATTTTTCAAAACAAGGTTATAATATTGTTTAATTATAAATAATTCATGTTTGTCTGAAAGAACATAACTGAATTAAAGTGGAACTGTAATCATTATTAACGGATGATTGATTCAAGATTTAGTAAGTAAACATTTGTTGCTGATCCGAATCAACAGTATTATATTCTACTTTTATTGTAATGTCGTCAAATACAGAATCCGAAGCTTGCCCCTTCTCCATATCCAGAGACACATACACATAGCAGTCTACTGTATCCTTGTGACAATTAAAGTCATATTACAACTAGTATTGTTAAACATATACCATATAACCTTGTTGAATCGGCTAAAAAGTATTCTTGAAATAATATAATGATATCAGTTCTGACGCCATCTGTATGTTAGTAACGCTAAACTACTGATTATAAGATATTTAATGTGACAAATTGTTTCGCTCGCATTCAATCAAATGAAAGTACAGTACAACTTGAAAATACCTTTGTGCTATTGATTGTTTGTTAAGAAACATCTGACTTGCAGACGAAACAAATCATTAACAAAGTTATCACAAAGATATTAATAGAGTTCAAGGTTAAAGCTGTAATTTTGCTGTTTATGCGCGAGTTCATAAATTAGTCTATAAATAAAAACATTGCGCAATGATTCACTTTTGAAATCATCCGTGAAACATACATTCGTTACCTTACCACATATTCTGTGAACTCCAATGTGCAAATGTATGCAACAACTACATTCTTTTATTTCTTTAATTTAAGCGGACCGCGTCAACCGAATACAACATTTACAGTATCGTCTTTCATAAAAAGCAAGCAATTAGAAGGAACGAAAATCTTAACACTACATTAATTTTGCCCTGACAAAGCTTTTTAAATTTGTAAATGGAATAAAACTACATTACATTTTCCATACCTTGGCAATATTCAAAATAAATCTTATAAACATTTAAAATAAAGATCATGCATGGCGTTAACTAAACGCTTTTTGTTTGTTTGTTTGTTTGTTTGTTTGTTTGTTTGTTTGTACCTAAATTCACGCTCAAAGTGGAAACACCAGAAAAGCTGCAGGCTAGACGGTGTTGGGTTATCTAAAAACCCAACCAAACTGAAATAAATACGATCGTGTGTCCAATACTTGACTGACTTGATCAGAAATTTCAAACGATGATGACCTGTAGGTCAATAATATCTTTATGACATTTTATCTGTTTGTAGAATGTGTGTTATAGATTTATCTGCCCAGCTTTGAATCTTTAAAGAGATTTCTAATCAAAATACCAACCCGAGTGACCCGCAGAATGTTTTTGTGAATTCTTTAAAGGATAATTTAAAAACCTTCATAATATAGCTACTACAAAATGTATCATACGAACACCAAATTATACTGCTACAACAAATAAATATCTCATGATATACAGAGAATATTTGCTGCGATCATGTAAACCATCATTATTGTAAAACATGTCATCCTTATACAAAAGTTGTCTCTTGTTACTGAAAAAAAATCTCAATTATTTTATAAAATTGAAATGAAACTCCCTTTTATTTCAACGTGTAATCTTTTATATTTCTTAAAAAAATATCTAACCATCAACGGTAAAAAGAGAACATTTACAAGCTAAGTACCAGGATATGTTTGGGGTAGCTTTAAGAACTAAGTATTTTATTGAGGTAGATTTTACTGTGAAATAATTATGTTTATACTGCTGTGTTGGAAGATTAAATGAAATGCAGCCGCTAAATAAATCATCCTGTCTCGATTAAGTATATGATATACAAATGAGTTAATTTGACTGTATTATTAAATTGCTTTCTTCATTGCTTCATAACAATAATATCATTATAAATATAATATTTACAGAAACCCAATATAACACTTATACATAAATAGCAATAGTACCTTATATTAGGGACATACAAACACAATATTATATGGTTAATATACCAGCATTTAAGACATTTATCAAGAAAAAACATAGATGTGAAATCTCATAATTATATGGCATAAAATGAGGTAAAATTGTACATAAGAGTATTGTTTAAAAAAAACGTCTTTTTAGTTGTGTTGTTGCTGCTGCTGTTTCTAACTTAAACTAAAAGCATCAATTTTTATCACAAGAGAAGTACACATACAAATTATATGAATGCATTATGTTATTTAACTAGTGTATATTAATGATATAGATTGTACACGAATAAAAGTCATGCGCTTATAAAGCCGGTAAGTATTCCAGTTTATTCCTTGTGTACAAATACCTTAAGTATGTTATACTCTAAATATCGGATATATATACTTTCAATATTTCAAGGTCAAGTTTTAAACTGTAAGTAAAACATTTTTACTAGTTTAACAATTATAGAAAATGTGTACATTTTAACTTGGTCACAATACTGATGTAATGTATTCATGATACAGAGAAGTTTATTGCAAATAGATTGTGTAGATGTATAAATCAATGTCTACGTAAACAATACAATCTTATTCATGTGGTTATAAAGAAAATGATATCGAAATATTGAATGCCAGTTGTCTTAT